TTTCACTGCTGCAAAACATACACTAATTGACATGTGGAGATCAAACCTCACCGGAACCTACAAAGGGTTGTACTAATTTAGAAACATTTTTTTTATCGATTCGGTTAGGACGCGCAATAATCTGAGCCAGTCCGAGTCAAATGTGATGAGATTATATACCTGCTGAAGTTTATCGAATATTTATATCCAAACACTCAATTTGTTTTCTCCTTGTCGGGAGGAGATATAATAGTTGCAACTGATCAAGAAGTTAATTTTAAAGATTTTCGATGTTTTTTTACATTCACAAAAATTTGTCAAAATATTTAATAATTTTCTTGGGGTAAATAAATGGGTTTACCAATAAATGTGGACGTAGTGCTGTGCTATTAACACATTTTTCGAGTCAGCTGTTTTGAAATCCCTGATTCGACAATTTTTCCAGCACAAACTCGAACTTAGAGCGCATATTTGACAGGAAAGTAAGTAAGTTCGACACCATCTCTCTGTAATAAAGATTTATAACATAATGCGAGTATATTCTCCATGACAAGTGCATTGTTGCATTTGAAATAACCATCAGGGGAGATGCACAATATCACTGAACTAACGAGTTACGCTTGTAAATATGTTAATTGTTTTCACGAGGTGTAACGAAGATTGTCCATATAATGAGGAAGGCCGCTTACACTGTCAACTTGACATACATTGTGATAAATGATGGTAATTTATTGACTAAAAAATTATGTAGTAATTTTAACTCGTCTTGATTGCGTAAAGATCGTACTATCTTGCATATATTTATATTTACATAATATTATTTTCTGGTAAAATAACTAAAGATCCAAGTGAGCATGTGAGTGAAGTACTATATCGTCTTAAAAAAAATATGTCTCAGGTTGGTGTTTTATTATTCGGAGAGTGCTCTTCAAAATTCGGCGAAGATGTCGATGTAGAAATATGACGGGCGCTTCCTTTCTAATCAACTGTTGCGAGACTAAGGTTAAAACATCTTCTACAGCATAAATTCAGCCATCTAAGTATATTAGCAGGAGTCAAAATCAATATCCTTAACGGTTTTGTGATGGGCTCAAGACCATTTGTCCATACATGAGTCTTCAAATTCATTTTTATTAGTTTTTTAAATCAATAAGTTCTTGTCTGTGCATATCTGAAACACTTTCGTTTATATGTTTACACCAAATTTTAATTCCAAGTGTAAACAAGTAAAACCATTCAAGCGATAAGTGATTGGTAAAATAACGGCAATTAATAATTCGTAAGTGAAAATCTAATTACGCTTTTTATTATTAACAAAGTCTAATATTAGTTGCTCAAATGCAAAACAAAACCAAAAACAATGCAACTGTAATGTATTAAATACATACGTACATATATAATAAAGTAATTGCAATTTCAGCTTCTGAAATATGCATAAAAAAATATTAAGGGGGTTTACTAAACTGATTTGTTTGTGTCGAAACTTTCAAAAAAAAAAACATTTTTGCTTCATTTTGTTAACGGCTAAAGGCAACAAAACACACAGTATTAATTCATTTACATATGGGTGTTTCCATTTCAATGCCTGCTACCGTACAAACGATCAAAGACCATTTTGAAGTAGATACAAATGACTGTTTTTCTTACAAGAAATGCATATCTGTATGTATATATTAGGGTGGAGCGAAAAAAAATTATATTTTTTTGCTTAGCCTGAGGGTAAAATCTGTAGATTATAAAGAAAGAAAATTTTTGAACAAAAAAAAAATTTTTTTAACATCTGAGGTGTCAGTTTTAAAGTAAAATTTCGAGATAAAATTTGTATTTCATAAAAATTATTTGATAAGTGTTCTAGAAGCTGTGGAGAGACTCTCTTTCTGGCCAATTAAAAGTTATCAGCTTAAAAACAATTTTGTGGTCATTATTGGAAATTTAAAAAAAGTCTTAAACGACAACATGCTTTCCTTAAGCGTTAAAATACATTTTGAGTCAAAAACATTCGGAAATTTTTTTATACATTTTTATATAAATAAAGAGTTTAAACCAAAAATAGTTTTTGCTTGCCTCTAGATGTTAAAAAAATTTATTTTTTTTGTCCAAAAATTTTCTTTTATTATATTCTACAGATTTTACACTCAGGCTAATCAAAAAAAAAATGTTTTTTTTCGCTACACCCTACTATACATGTATGTGTGTTTGCATATGCCTACTCTATAAAAATAAACATGCAAGTCCGGCTATTGACACCTCTTTAGTGTGTAGAGCGGTTTGCAAATTGGCAATTTATAGTTTCCAGCTCAGGCGCAGCAACGAACACAACTCCCCTGAGCTGCCCTAGCGAAGCACTTCAGATCTTTCAACACTAGCAATACAGAGCATACCACAAAAATACCTAATGAGTAGTATTAATGGTGAACAGATCAAATAGCTCCTAATTTTAGGCAAAAGTTTATTTGGTAACATTGTAGGGGTCATCACAACACATCTAACTCTAAGATCCCACCTTTTGAAACTTGACAAAGCGAATTCGACTGATGATTAGACGCTGCTGGAATATTAACTTAGCAAATACCCAGCTTTCACCCGGTTGAGATGGAATATCTTCCACCAACTTAAAAGACATTGAGCAGCAGCGGTGGAAGAAATTAGGTATTTTATCCAATTTACTAAGTTGCTGGATAAGGCTTAATTGGTGACCACTTGAGCACAATGCGCCTAAGTGCATCCCCCCGCGACCTAACGCTTCTGTGTCTCCCTTGTCAACCTAGCAACCAAGTTAATGTTCTATATAAATGATTTATTAGACAATACTTTGATTTTTGCCTTTATATATAAAATTTAAATTTTTTATATTTTTTAAGTTTCGAGGGTAGTGTCTTCTTTGCTTATTGTTTTTAAGTGGTTAATTACATATAATAGTTGTTTCAATTTAGAAAAGTAGTAATTATACCATGAGTTTTACATACCTAGAGCTGAGATCACTGCTCTTTTCAGGTTATTTAATTCGGTCAGTTATTATTATTTTTATTTGTAAATAACTAACCTAAAACTATTTTGCTAATAAAAAGATGATAATAAGTTTATAGAAAACAAAAAATCTCTTTGACTAAAAAAGGCTGCAGACTGGAAGCTTTTCGGATGATGGCAGATGAGGTTAAAAAAATCATTAAGGAAGAGTCCGTCTCAGCAAAAGCGTTCGAATTTACTTTTATCATAGAAGCGTTTTTAGCATAAAAGATTATATATAATATATGATCGTCTATCGACACAGGATTTCTCGAATTATTTTAGAAAACACTTGCCCGCGTTAGCTCTGCATTACGATACGTTTAAAAGTTGCCGTAGAAAAAATTACTTATCTTTTGTTTAGTTAGAACAGGTTAATTTGTATTTCAATCGATTCGAAAATATCTTTCTTTAACTGCCTTCAGTGAATGTTTTCCATAATTTGGGTCAACAAAGCTGCTTTAGTAGCCGAAATTGGCTTTATGGTGGGAAGGGGGAGAATTATAGCCCCAGCTTTAGTTATACTTAAACGGTCTGGAAAGTGTAGTCACTTACTTATTTAAGTTCTTGCGACAGATGTTACCCCAGATACTATAGCGTAAATAAATTATTTTGGATGTGCATCTATGGAATGATACAAAGTCTCTTTAATAATTTACACTTTTAGTAAAGTTAGAATCGTCGAAAAGCGTTTTCATTGCTTGCCGTTACCCACTTTCTATAAGTATTCATAACCAAACAAAAATTGCCATTTATGTATCACTGATAACTTTCATATGTGGGAAGATGGGACAACCACTAAGCAAACTGGCATATTTCTCTAACCATTGTTGCTTGTTTCCTCCGAACTCGGACCGTATTACCGCCATCTGCATTTATCGCAGACGTACATAAATAACTACTCGTTTACATTTCTGCGCTAGACCTAAATGTATCTCTACCGACTCGTAAACATTTATGTATAAATATACACTTTTTGCTGAGTGCTTTGCTTTTAAATTTTCAAGTTTACCCCCGTTATGCGGCCATTGTGTTCGAGCGGCATTTAAATTCACTGTTGCAACGAAACGCATTAACATAAGTTGCATTTTAAAACTAAAACTATGCCCATCGACTGTGCAATACGTACAATACGTTTAGTTGCCGTCAACAGCAGCAACAATATTTAGCACAGGGTTATCATAAATTTTGATCGAATGCTTGGCATGGAATTGAGGTCAAAATTAAAAAGTACCCGTGGTGTAAGAGTACACTCTTTGCTTGCAAAACGAGTGAAGTGAAGAGCGTAAATGCATGCGAAAAAAAAGAATAAAATATAGGAAAATAATTGGTAGTAGGGAGCAAACCAATCAATCTTGCAACAATAACAATGTACAACAGCATGTTTACAAGTCACTATATCAGTTTTTAGGTTGCGAAAAGTGCAAACTGTTGAAAATACAAATATATTTCGTCGGCAGAAGCAACGTTTTATTTGGGGGAAATATCATTCGATATTCTTCACTTTGCATAAAAGTTGCGTTTAGAGTGAGTTATGCATGAGGAATTTGCACCAATCATAGTCAAAATCTTCCTGCTGTTTATGTAATGTAAAGTGAAAGAATCACATGAAATTTCAAATTGTGTTAGGAGTTTGGAAGTAGGCGTGGTTGTAGGCTGATTTCGCCTATTTTAAGTTCTAAACTGCGTCAAAAGGTTATAACGCAAATATTGTGAACAACATTTAGTTAAAATGGGTCGAGCAGTTTATATATACGAGTATAAATAGTCACCTAGGGAAGAGCGATAGTGTTAATTTTTTTTGTGAACGGGTCCACATATTAGCTAACGAACTATCTTCGTAATTGCATTCAGTTATCGAACGTTTAGTAGTTTCTAACGTTAGCGTAATATCGAGAATGGGCGTGGTAGTTAGGTAGGGTCAGGTAGAGTCACGTAAATCTCCATGAGGACTATTAAAACTATAAATCAAACACGAAATTTGATTTATTTATTTAAAAACTTATATCAAATATCACCCCCTATTATTATTATTATTGTATTATTATCATAATCACTTAATAGCTATAAAACCCCCTTTTGTACTTATAACTTGTATAACACTTATGTTTCCGGGTCAATTTTATTGAGCGACATGCCTTTGGTCTCCTTAATGAAGACTACAATATATACCAAACCCAGAACACTTGTCAGAGCAAAGAACCACATTGGCAAATAAAGGCCAAAAGTAGCCAAAGAAATCGGAAACATTTTCATTAGAATAAAGCCAATGATGTTGAAGATGCACAAACAAATGGCGGACGCTTTGGCGCGTATCTATTCAGAAAAGAGAAGCTTTAAGTTTATAAATGCAAATACAAATAACGACATTTTTACTTACCTTCGGTGGCATTAACTCCACGAGCAAAACAAATGGAATTGGTATAAGTCCCGAATTGGCCACGAACATAATGAGGCAAACATTTAGCAGTGGCAACCATGCGCTAACAGGCGATAAATCGACCGAGGTGTTTTGTAAGAGATAACCATACATGCCGAATATCGTCATACCCACACAAGTGGCCGCACAAGAAAATATCAATAACGGACGCCGACCGAATCTATCGACCAGAATAGTTGCAGTGTAGACGCCGGTGACTTGCACCAAGCCCACAATAATGGTATTGGTATCTGGATGTAGTTCGGTGCGCGCGGCTACAAAGATACTGGAAGTATAGTAGAGTATGGCATAGGCGCCACAAAAGACATTCAGCCACATAAGTACGAAACCATTACCGAAGGCAATCATAGCGCGTTTATTACCTGTCATTTGGGGAGAGAAAATTTTAAATAATTGTTTGAGAATGTAAAGTATTTGTTGAGCTTTACTCTCTTACAGAAATCATGCCAGGTTACAGTATTCGTATTTGCTTGGTGACTGGTTACATCAGTCTTAAGCTTTTCAAACTCTATTTCAAAGTGGGTAGCGCTCTCTTTTGTTTTCGGTTCATAGTTGCGATAGAACTTCAGAGACTCTTTAGCGCGTTCATCTTGACCACGTTGTAGCAAGAACATTGGTGTTTCCGGAAAAAGTATTTGAAATAACATAAAAATTACCGGCATTAGTATACCGAAGATCGGTATGTAATGGTAGTGCACACGTGCCGTTACTATATAACCACAAAATATGCCACTATTTAAGGTTAGAGAGAAAAGTGAGGTTAAGCGTCCGCGAATTCTGAAAGAGACAGTGAATAAAATGTTTAAGAAGTAGTCATTATGTATATATGGATCAAATATTATGATATGCTAATGGAAACTAGGTAATCTATTTATATCAATAATAATTGTTGACAAAACTTCCTTAGTCATATTGATAGTTGAAAGCTTGACATAAACCTCGTCTGATTTGTGTTGACAAACCTTTTTACGACCCTTGGATCAGCGGAAATTCAAATGGCAACACTGCCAGCTCTCGATTGAAGCTCTGCAAAGGCAGTCAGTTGAATAAGAGTTAATTTAGATCGATCGCCGATAATATAGTGGATATTTTCAGCTCAAGCCCAGATTTTACCAGAATGAAATCGGTGGTTTTGGGCTCAGATAAGAATCGAATATTTTGAATTTTTATCTTAAAAAATACTTTTTAGTTATTTAAGTGTCGGTTCTTATCGCTGCCAGCTTTTTCTAGTTTATCTCATCTATGAACCTATTTTTGAAAATACTATTTCGCTCTTTAGACCTACTTATACCCTCATACTTTAAATAGATGCATTTATTAATTGAAAAATCAAAATAAAATTCTAACCGAAAAAAGTCATAATTTGAGCTTGGATATATTGCATGCAGATAGGATGATGGGAGTAATATCGACCTATGGACAAAATTGTACTCCGAAGCTTCCAAAAAGTAATAAAAACTTAAAGTTTATAGTTCCCATATACAAATATGCATACTTTGGTTCAGCGATTTCGCCAATAAATATCGGTATGATGACATAAGTGCCACCGCCCGTAACACCAGCTAAAAATCGGCTCACATATAGATATTCCACGGAACGTGCAAAATATACGAGTATCCAAGAAACCTATAAAAATTTATATATTAAACATGCATACAGATTTCTGCAAATATATACATTCAGATTTACTCACAATATACGGCACAGCTAGGCAATAGTTGCTAGCTTTACGCCCGATAAGATCCAGCAATACGCCATAGACGATATTACCGACGCCACCACCCAGCGATGACAGTCCGCCAATCCATGAACCCTCATTTACAGTTATGACGAAATCCAATTCAGTCTCTGCGGGTGATTGCAATTTTGCCAGTATCACCGAAAACCAACCTAAGCCGAAGCCATGGCAGAAAGTTATGATCGTAACTGTAAATGTTATAGAAGGTGGTGTAACTATGTGTGTATGTTTCTAGTTGGCGTAAAATTAAGATAATTTAGATAAGCAAATAATGCATTTACGTGTAAATTGTCAAGAAAACTAAATATTTATATCTATGCGTGCATGCCAGAATTCTGTCTGTGAATTACTCGCGTAAGTAGATAAGCTAATAAGCAAATATTTGCTTAGACTTACATACATACATAATATATGACGTATTATAAATCTAAAAATATAAAATTTTTTTGTATTGTGTATAATTGCGTAGTACTCCAGGAAATATAATATTTATAGAATTGAAATAATTATAATTGCAGGTTGTCTTTGATAAAAGCAATATACAAAATACCGTTATTTCTATGCAAATAATTTACTTTGAATCGAAAACAAACACTTTCATTACTTTATATGTGTATTCTACCTCCTTGAACCCTAAATTTTTTACATTCTCGTAAAAAGTTGTATAAGGAGTTATACCAAGAAAATTGATATCGTTTTAAAGTTTATTTTTACAAAATTATCAAATTGATAATCGATTTTTTTTCTCGTTGCGTTTCGTTTTTTGCATCAAAATAGGTCCCTAGGGTCTGAAAGCACCTGGCTTGGCCTAGCATGGATGCAAAAACAATTTGAGGTCCTTTTTATATAATTTTAGTAGAATTTTCTTTATTTTTTCTCGATTGTCATGATTACACTCTCTTTCTCTACGAATGCCAAAGTTTTTTCTCCTTTAAATCTTCTTCTTTCCCGTTTTAGTACATTTGCATTTTTTAGTTCAACCATTGTCACACATCGACGCTTCAAACATTGGGCGCTTGTGCTGCGCTCACTTCGCTTTCGAATACCTAAATACTATAATAATTTACAATATATATTTCGCACGTCCACAGAGACCATATTTCTAATAACAATAGTAGTATTCCCCTATCTACACATCTTCTAAAAATAAATCCATTATTTTTCCAACAGATGACTTTAGTAATCTGTATCGCGCTTTGTATAAGTGCGATAGTATTAGTCACTTACGAACGAAAACGGTCACGGTTGAATCGCGGTGTGCCGGCCAAAACAGTGACGGCCAGGCAGATTTTTCTCTGTGTTTGGTGGGATTGACAAGGAAACGTCGTCTAAGAACTACTCCTTTACGGTCAAACTCTTAATTCGGATCTGTCTGAAGGAAGCAATCCCTTTAGCCAATAGGAGAGGAATTGCGTTCCATCAGAATAACACCAAGCTAATTTTTTTTTTAATTTTACGAAATTTTTTTAAATTTACTCTTAATTTTTTTGGCAGAAACTTATATGCGGATCACTAAAGACTACTAAAGTAAATATTGCTGCCACACAGGATTGGAAAAATAACTGAGTTAACATTTGAATTAATTTTGTTTTTTTATTTTGTAATCCCAAATGCCGGATGGAAAAAAATTTAATTCGAAATATAAAATAAATTTTTTAATCCCACAACCGATTATTTAATTTAAATTTTTAATCCGGTTTGTGGGTTTAAAAAATTTTTTTTAAATATTTATTTTGAATTATTAAAAAAATTTGTTAGCTCCACAAATCGAAATTGTGGGCTTGGTATTAAATTTTTTTATTATTTTTAATCCCATATTGAAATATAAGTACGCATAATTTTTATTTTTTTAATACTATATATATATAATATTTTTTTAATAAGAAAAAATAAAAAAAATGTTTTAATCCCGAATACCGGAAAATTTAATTCCAAATATAAAATTAAATCTCTAATCCCACAACCGAAAATTTATTTATAATTTTTAATTCGGTATAAGGAAATAAAACAAAAAAATTTTTTTTTATTTAAAAAAAAATTTGTTAGTCTCACAAACTGGATTATAAATTAAAATAAATTGTGGCTTTGGGACTAACCAACCAATTTTTTAATCCCATAATGAAATACATATGGTATACATATGCATAATAATTTTCTTTTAATTTAATAAAAAAAAATTAAAAATAAACTTATAATCCCAAATACCGGATGGAAAAATAAATCAAAACAAATTAATTCCAAGCATATAATTAAGAATAAAAAAAAGAAATTGTTTTAGAATTACATTTTTCCCCGTTTGCGTACCGCATTTTCTACTTTTTTAAAAAAGGTCTTGCACAAAGCCGTCTTATTCAATACTCTAGAGCATTAAAATTTTAAATTTTTAATCCCAACATCGGGAATGAATAAAGAAAATCTAATTTTTAATCCCAAAATTTGGATTGCAAAACTAAAATTTAATTTTTTTGAAACAAAATATTTGAATTAAAAAATTCGCATATTCTGCCGTCAAATCATTATTAACTTTCAATTCCAATCAGAGAGATTTGACCACATACTTAGTTATGCTGAACTGCATAGTAAGTTCGGATAGCATATCCCATTTTATTCAAAGCTTCATATTCTATATACAAAAACTAAAGAAGAACTTGGACTTCAAAAAACACAATTCTCACCACTACCGTTTTTTTGTATTACACAACATTTACACACATAACGGTATAAAAATTTTAAATACTACAATAATTGCCATAATTTTCCAAAGGCTCTATTGAACTAGTGAAATTCACACTTTGTAGAAATTTTTTTTTTTCACCACTAGAATTGTTCAGAAATTTTTCGAAGCAGAATGCTTCTAATCCCACACATATGCTTTGAAAAATTAAAAAAAAAAAACATTTTATCAACTGTTAAATTTTACAAAAGAAATGAAGTTCCACACAATTTTCAATATAACTTCACTTCTAGAAAGCACTGAAAAACTACATTTTTTTGGCTTACTGCATACTGAAGCCAGCAATTGTCGACGAAATTCAAATTTGAAGACACCTTCCGTATTTTTACACAATCCAAACATTTTTCAAGAAATTTCGCACTAAATTTATGCAAAAGACGAAACTCGGTGAGGCTCAACACCGCTTTGGATGATTCGAACTGCTAACTGTGCTTTTGAAGAGATCTCACGGAGAACTGACTTTATAAAATTATAGAGTTTCATCTTAATACCGTCGCTAACATCATATTACGTTATCAGTCAACAAATGTTAATACTTTTCTCCGTATATACATACGAATAGAATATACGCTGTTGGGGTATATGGACCACTCATTTGTTTGATAAAGCCGTTATAAATGCATTTGTTACAGTTAGAATTATAAACATAAATGCAATTAAGTATTTTAAACAGACTATATTTGCCAATGATTACATGTTCATTATATTTACCGTTATCATATTTGTAAATAGATGAGTGCAATCGTCAAAATATGCTGACGTACTGGGTTATGGTGGGGAAAACCCGAAGGTCTTTCTGCTTCGTTTTGCTTACCGAACCGATTAAATATTTTATTTATTTTATAAATATCTGCATATGATTTATGTAGCTATAAGATACTGAGTTAAAAGATATAGGATCAGCTATAATTTATTGTGGGAAATTTTGGAAATTTTTTCGCTTTATATATGAGATTTGTAGTATTTAGTTTGGACATATAAACCTTATTCGACCCATTTTTTGGATATCACTTGATACTGCCATAAGGTCTGTTACTAGTTCAGGCCGTTATAAAAATGTAATTAATATTATGTATATGTTTTTTGATAAAGTAATTTTTATTTAATAATGCATAAATGAGCGATGTATCAAATTTTTTTCGAACTGGTAACATTTTGCTTTTACACAAACGTTCAAACGATTCGGCCATTGATGAGCAGCACGCACAGTTTCTATTGGTATTGACGACGCTGCTCGAACTATAGTTTTTTTGAGACACTCCAAATTTCTGTGAGGTATTCGACAGGCCATGTTTTTCTACTCTGATCACAAACTCTAGTCCAATGGAATAAAATCTAGACTTCCAGATAGCCAACCATTTGCAGCTATGAAACCAGGAATATTGCTTTTAAGCTACTGCTGGATGGTTTTTGCCTTGTGTGCTGGAGCGGAATCTAGCCGAAACATCCAATGCTCTCCATGGAAGAGTATATTGTTGAATGGTTTTACTTCGCCTTCTAAAACATCCTGCTAGTACACTGTGGCCCCAGTTTTAACCCTTTTTTCACAGAAGGGAAAAAAATGTAACACCTTTACAGTAGACTCTCCACCAAACCAACACATTTTTGCGTAGATTTTGTCGTTCTGCTTACTAAAAACTTCATTATCAGTGAAAATTACATTTGTTTATCTGCGAAAATTATACTTTCATGGCCGTTGACCGCGTGTCACTGAAGTAGCCACTTGCATCTTTTGAGCCTAATTTGCTTCAAGTTGACCGACGGTAGGCTTTCATGTGGAGACCATCTCGAATAAGTTTTTAGGTTACATTCATGGCGAAGACCGGAATCACTGCAGTAGTAGAGGACTTTGTTTAGCGCCAATTTTGTCATCGGAGGTTTTGTAAGGGCTCACTTTTTCTTCGCCAAATTAGGCACTCATCACGCCGAAGACTTTCAAGGTGCGACCACATTAAAGCTCGTTAAATGCATTTTTAACGGTCGCCATTGAAGAATTTACTGTTTCACGCATCCAACTCTTTGATTTCACTTCATCCTTCAAAAATCAAGAATCGAATCACGGATCGATATTGCTTTTTTTCAATCCGTCGATACCCCCTAACTACCATGTCGAGTAAAATATACAAAAAGGCAATGAGTACTAGTCTTGCCGAAAATTTTGTATAGCTGTGTATAACAAAGACTCATCGAAAAAATCGCTGTTTATAAAATGCGCATATTTGTTTAATTTTTCCAAATGACTGGACAACCGAAATGCATTACATATATGTAGTGTAAAAAAAATTTCTTTATAACAAAGTTTTCGATGTTTTTTTTTTTTAAATTTTTTATTTATCAATTCGCGCAATGTAATTTAAAAAGTTACCCACAACAAGAATGTTGTTTCCGCCCAACAACATGCCTTGGAAATTACATTGCTTAAAGCTGGTTTGGTTCGGTTGTGGCGGCTTTAGTAGTCAACTTGTCATTGACAGCGCGCAAAAGGAAGCATGTAATTGCTCCATTTAAGATTTCAATGCTCATACACAGAAACTTAATTTACTGCACTTTGAGGCAACAGAAACATGCCACTTTGTCGCTAATAGGTCGTTTCAACTCCGAAGCCTCGCTGTTGTAAATTAATCACTTCATCACTAAGTAGTTAATTTTGTCATAAAAATATATATACATGTACAAGTATATATAATATTTGTACATATATCTTCTAAAAAATCAAAACTCTGGTCGTTGCACTGCTATGTGTAAGGCTAAGTGCATAGTGAAGTGACCTACAGAGCACCGCTCAACAAAGTCCAGAAAAATCCGTTATGTCACCTTTTCATAATAAATTCAATGCATACATATTTTCTCTTTTTTCACTCACTCTTGTTGGTTTTATTTGTGTTTCTCATATTTTTATACGCCAAATCCTAATTCGGTTCTGATCAACTCGACGTATACGTAATATTATATATTGACAATGCAAACTATTTTGCATTATCGGAATTTCAGAATCAAAATTTAGTTTAATGGAAATATTGTCTTTCTATCTGATTTAAAACCAAAAAAAATATACATCTACAATATATATAGCTATACTATTCCGATATCGGCGGTTCCGATAAATAAGCGGCTTTTTTGAAAGAGAAAAGTGTATGTACAAAATTGTAAATCGATATCTCAAAAACTAAGGGTATAATTATGTATATACAGAAGGTTGGACAGACCGGCAGACGGACATGTTTAAATCCACTCAGCTCGTCACACTAATGACATATATTTATATATAATTTATCAATCTGGGTGTTACAAATGGTCTCCGACCTTTTAGTTGGGCTGTTACAAACTTTGTAGCCAACTTAGGGTATATCCCTGTTTAGGGTATAATAATTTAAGCCAATAACATTGCTTTATGAAGTGATATCAATATTGAAATTAAAGTAAAACAGGCCTCTAAATATACATAACAGGTGTATCGGTTTGGGAAAATGAAATACTTATTTTGAATGCGAAAGTAAGAAAATTTATTCAAAGTATTGACCATTGCTTTTTACACATTTTGCGACGTTTCTAGCCATTTGTGGCACGTTCTCTAATAACAAGTTTATTATTTTATAATTTTAAATCAGGTGACAACGCAACTACATAATTTCCTTTTACAAGAAAGCTTTTTTTATAAACTTCTAATTTTTAAACCAGTTTTTGAATTTTAAGTTTATTTATAAAAGAAGTTCTACAAAGGTGGCAAGCCTAGTTAAATATTTGTACATATTCAACATTTTCTGCCCATTTTTACTAATTTTATAATAATCTTTTTGTAAAAGTTTATACAAATTTTCAACGTATTTAATGAAAAAAATACTTCTAATAGTATGGCAACTCCATAAAATATTTTAAAAATAAGTCTCGTCGTATTTTAAAAATAAGTCGTACAACCAAAAATTATTTTATTTTTTAGTTAAAATTTTTTAACTTAAATATGTACATGTGGCAACCTTATTTATTATAATTTTTTATCTGGTTTAGAAGCAGAGTACCATTTACTTCTAAAGTTTTTAAATGTATACAAAAAAACTTAGAAAAAAAATTATATCTATTTAAATGTCTAGAGTTATATTCAAAATCAATTGAATCAAATATGATTTCTGTTCAAAGGCTAAAATTCCTTTCACTCTTTCTTTCAGTATGGTGTTTTTATGATACTGCTGCTCATTGCCGAAATCGTCGCCGGCGGCTTGGCTGCTTTCTACAAGGAGAAGGTTCCTATAATTGTCTAGTAGTTGCCATATTTTTCCAACACAATAACTAATTTTTTTGGTTTGCTTATAGGCGCGCGCTGAGACCAAGACTTTCCTGCAATCCACCATTACCGATTATTATTCCACCCACGAGAATATGGACGCTGTCACACTCATGTGGAATCAGCTGATGAGCCAGATGAGCTGCTGTGGCGTGAATGACTATCGCGACTTCGATGCCTCACTCGCATGGGTCAGCAACAAGGGCAATCGCACGCTACCCGAAGCCTGCTGTGTGCTCAAGGATGTAAGCCAAATGTTGCCACGTGACGATGATTGTGTGCTAAATCCTAGCGAAAGCAACAGCTTTTATAAGAAGGTAAATTACATGTGAAACTGATACCTTTTCTAAATATGTCACGTCATATGCGACTTCACATGCATGTATGAAATATATCATGGTATTTTTTCGCATACTTTAGAAATATGTCATGCAATTTTTTTGTACATAGTAGAAATATTCCATGCAATTTTTTCATACTCTCCAAAAATGTAAAATGTATCATGCAATTGCTTACAATTATTTTTTTTTTTAATTTTAATATATTCCTTTTTATTGCTTTCAGGGCTGCTATGAAGTATTCACCGACTGGATTATCTCCCATCGCGAAATCATTATTGGCGTGCTGCTGGGCGTTGGCATTGTACATTTGTTTGCCATCTTTTTGGCATTCTGCCTGTGCAAGGCGTTCGCTAAATACCATGGCATGCGTCTTTAAGATTCTACCCATGCAAAGCTAGCCAATTAGTTGCACCAAATATGACTAGTGAAGCAATAAGATGTTGTGACGAAAAGACTTCGACAATTATGAGAAGCTATTTCTGTCTCTTTTCGTAAATTGTTTATATTGTTGAGTTGTTTGTTTTACAAATTTTTGAACAAATTTTGTAGAAACCTTTTTTTTTGTAATAAGTAGTTTACAGACATTTTTGTAAATTTCTATTGAAACTTTTACATAACTTTACGCATATGGATATGAACTATTCGAATTTTGAATACTATTGTTATATATTTATGAATAGTTAAAAAAAAACACGTGAGAAAATAATTAGGTAAAAATTTGCTTCTGAAAGAGTATGCAAATGGCAAAGTATATGCGCTAAAATTAAGTGAGCAAAAACTTATTGGGTTGAAGCCTTCTTTAGTAAGGAAGGTTGGCATACTTGCAGAGTCAAGTAAAAAATCTTCAAGCAAAAAATATATATACAATATATATAAAATAATAATAATAACAAGAAATCGAACTAAGACTTGATTTTAGTTATCTTAGTATAAATTCTGAATGCTTGCTAGTAATAACTAACAACTGTAGGAATCGTTTAGCCTAGTAAGTAAGCAAGAATCTCTCCACACTATACATCACAAATCAATTGTAGAACATATCGAAATGAAAAATTAATAAGAACATGTTTTTCAGCTAAGCATTTACACGGAAATCATAAACTAAAATAGAAATTCACTCAAAAATTAGAAAATTTCGAAAATTGTATTCGAAAAGAGTGCATGTCAAGCTTATGATGTTGTAACCAATTTTTCGAAAATACTGAAGTTTTGGCTTTCTTTAGTTTTAAAGTACATGAATTGTAAATGAATGCCGCCGAATAAGTTTAGAGGTTATAAATTTTTACATTCGTCTGAAATTTAAACATATTAATTTTCATTATACAAAAAAAAAACAATACTTAACCCTTACATAAAGTCAATTAAAATTTTCGAATATTTCTTAAGCCCGTTGACATGCTTCAGAGCCACTTCTATTAAATTTTTATGCGACTAGTATTTAAAATAACTGCTTTTTATAAAATTTTTTGTAAATAATTTTGTATAAAAAAATTCAAACCAATGAAAAATATTATACATTACTACAAAATTTTTTAAATGTATACTTAGATGATTCAAATATTTTTGATGACTGCCTAAAAGTATGCAACTATTTTATTTCTCATATAAATTAATTTTATTATGCGCTGCCGTAGTAAAAATTTTAAAATAGCTTCACCGTGCGGCTAAAACTGCATAAAAAATTCATAAAATTAATTATATAACTGTTAACATTCAAAATTATTAATTTCTGTATACCTATTTACCATCTTTTCTGCATAAAAAATATGAAACCGCCACAATGCAGAATCCGAGCGATCTAAAACTCGAAAAAAAAAATGGAAAAAAATAATTTCATATAATTTTTTTTTATTATTCAACAAATTAGTTGCATAGTTTTAAGGTCACAAAATTTTTATTTTGCAAGCCATTTCAGTTGAAAAGTATAAAACTAAATTTTAAAATTTTAAACTCACAAAAAATCAGCATAAAACTAAAGCATAGCAGTTTTTATCCAACAACAAAACAAAAATTATTTGTAATCTGTATTGTGAATACCCTCATACTTACATATCTCAAATATCTTTATAATATGTATAAGTAAAGTAAAGGAGGAATTTCAGCATTTTTATATGAGTCAACAAATTTTTCGTAGAATTTAATATAATTTTTGAACATTTTTTATTAGGATATTTAACAATAAATTTATTATGGATGTTGTTTATCATATATATACATATAACTTGTATATATATTTATATACCTATACCTGCATTATATAGGTACGCAATATTGATCATATAGAATTTAGAAAACATATCTACATACATATTTAGTATGTAAACATGTATATAGAAGCATGTCTGTCAGCTGTGTTTATAGTAATTCACATACAAACACATACATATTTACTTACATGACTAAGTACACGAAACTTTTTTGTAGATTAAGTTTTGTAAATCTATTCGTAGTTTTCTTGAAGTTCAATAGTGAAAAGTGAAATATTGTAAAAATTGAATCATTATTAAATATAATAAAAGAAAAACAAAAACAACAAATTTACAAAACATTATTTATTTACTGGTCAGAGATGGTTACTTTTACTACACATATTGACTGATATGTATGGGATAAAGTTAAGCGTAAGGTCGATAATCACCAGTGGCTGATCCGGAAATTCTATCTGGCCGGCGGAGAAGTTTTTCCATTTAACATATTTTCAATATTGATGTTACTTCGTAAATTATTCTAAAAGAATTTGATTTAAAAACTTCGAGTTTGGATCCACCACCGATAAACACTATCTTGAACCAACAGTTGGGTCTATATAACCGAAACGGGCCCGGATTTTTATCCGGCCAAGGAATGTTAACTTGGCAGAGCTCTGCCGTTACATCATCAACTATATTGACTCCCATTATCTTCACTGATATACCAGATATGTGTGTATGTACGATTAATTGTTCAATTAGCTTTGTTAAGATATGTTACGCATTAAACGATAATTTCGGTTGAATATCAACTCAATAAAATGGGTAGTGAGGTATACATGCTCGGTATCGTGACGGTTAGAAAGTTATAGTTCGATTTAAACGGGTTTTTTCAGATAGTTGCGACATCTTGAAGTCACTATTTTTGCAAAACTTTATTCCGATATCTTCATTGGTATTTGATATCTACATATATGTTTAAGTGAAAGAGTCTTGGTACATTTTATATTATGTTGTATGGTAAGTAAGCGTGGTTGTGATCCAATTTCGCCCAGTTTTAAGCTATAATCTTTTGTCGTCAAAATAATGTCGTGCACCAATTTTGGTTCCAATTGTTCGAGTAGTTGCTAAGCTATGAGATTGAATCTAAAGGAGAGCTAAAACTGCTGTAGTATTATTGCGGTAAACTTTAATATCAGATATTCTCGTTAGTTAATTAACGCACCTTTATCTGTAATGTACATATTCGTTGTATGCTTGTTCTACGATTTCCTCCATTTTCACACCATTTGTAGTTAAGCTGTTAGAAAAAGATTTCACAAAGTTTGGTTGATATAGCTTCAACAGTTTGTGAGATAATTTTATAAAACCTCTTAAAAAGCTGGACCACGCCCAATTTTCAAATTTTTAAACAGCAGTTTTACCTTCCCACTGTGACTCTGTACCAAATTTAAACTTGTAAGAATGTGTTTTGACTTAGTTTTAGACTTTGTGGGCGTGGCAACGGCGATAATTTCGGGATAGAGTCAGCCATAGACACAATGTAGATACCAAATAGACCGAATCTGCAGAAAGCACAAAATGTAGAAAATTAGGCAAATATTTCATCTTCTATCAAGATATATGTCAATAGCTGAAGTAGTAAGAGAAAGAAATTAGGCCCAGCTTCGTCCCCGAATAAAAACAAATATCAAAGTAAATACAGAAAATCAATTGTTTGGTTTAGCTGACTGTTTATTTAAAATTATTTGTAAACTAATACACATATGTATGTATGTCTTATATGTATGATATACATAAAATTGTATTATTTAGTACATATATTTGTACGGAATTAATTAATATGTTCATACTATGTAGAAATTCACAGAAAGAGTGTACGTATAAGTTCCTTTATTGTTATGTAAAAATACACACATATTATGCATATGCGTATGTATGTATGCTTATGCGTAAGTTTTTTTGTTTGTCTGGAAGAAAAATTAAAATTAAATTATACTAAATAATTCTATTTAACATATATGTATATTTATACCAGATATCCGCGTATCATAATTAATGAGAAATAATTGAAATATTTCTTAAATTTTTTATGCCATAAAACCATATTTAATTAAATTATCAAACAACTTGTCATAAATTATTGAAACGTTATTCTTGTATGTGTTTTATGTATGAACTTAAATCTATAGGTATTTAAAATTTTGGAAATTTATTTTTATAATTTTTTTTTCATAAAATTTTTTAATTTGTATTTTGTTTAATTTTTGTTTATTTATTTCATACTTTTTTCTATGTTATTATTATTTTTTGATTTCATAATTCTTTTTTATTTAATTGTTATCTTTTTAAAAATTTGGAATCGATTTATTTATATATATATTCTATTTCAGTTTATTTTCAACATTTGAACCGGAATGAAAAAGAATAAAGTTTATAGTATTTGAAAGAGAGAAAGAGAGAGAGAGCTAAGAAGAGTAAAAGTTCTTAAGGAAATAGTTTTCAGTTCAGTGAACAAACAAACTTCGTACATACTTAAATTATATAAATATATAAGTTGTATATAATACAATTGTATGTATAAATGTATTAAAGTATCCGTTATTTAACACGTTAATTTTTTTTTCAAACGCCTCTCAATTTTTGTCATAAAAAAATTATCCAACGTAAACAAACTCTTTATTTTTAATTTATAACCTGCCTGTTCACTTTTGTAACTTTTCCTCACCTTTTCGTTCCACTAAACGCTCCCGTCTTTGTAAAAGTTTAGAAAATTATTACACAATTTATTTCTATCGCAAACGTTTTACGCAATTTACAATATCATGTATTTATAAAGATAATTATATTTATAACAATCAAAATCAAAAAATTACAATTTCACTTTATAAGTTGTTAAAAGATAATCGGGATCTACGACCGTGGAGAAAAGGCGGAACTTCAACTGCGACTTCTCGGTTTAGCGCTTTCGATCGAAAAAAAAGGGTCGGCGCGATCGCCCTCCCTCCTTTTGTTAATTTGGTGTGTAGATATTTGTGTGTGGGTGTATGCTGCTGCTTCCAGTAAGGTTGCTTTGGTGCTGGTGTGGGGTGTTTCCAGGTGTGGTGTGCCAGTGTTGTCCTGTAAGTGGTGTGTTGTGTTGTCGTGAGTGGTGGTTGTGCGGTGTGGTTGACTGCATTAGGGCGGGAGGCTGAGCTCATTTAGCCATCCCGGCCCCCCTAGGCGAATGTTCAGCCTAGCAGTCGCTGGAGTTGTTGCAGCGTTGCCACGACGTTGCTGAGGCCTGTCCTGCGGCGAGTCTGCGGCCTTAAGGGTTGGTGTGGTGTTAAGGTGCTATGGAGCTGACGCCAAGTTCGGGGTGCGGCGAGTGCTTGTCGTCGACGGGGTCGTGCTGCATGGCTTGGCTGTGGACGACGGCCTGCATCATGGCGGGGGGGGTACTGAGGGCCGTGCGACAGGGCGCCTTGGGTTTCGATGCAGCAAGGTATGATGCGGCCTGTCGCAGTATTGCACACGATATCAGACACGCTTCCTGCGTGTCATGCGTCTGGGCCAAACAATTCAAACAGTGCCCATGTGCCTGGGCCACCTGCTGACGTTGATTGGGTGTCATACCCTTAAAATGGGACAGTGCTGCAGCCGGTGTGAACGGCAACAGAGCGGGCAGCGGAGGCGAGGCGGCTCCGAAACTACAGTAGGCGTTGGGCGCATGGCACGTCGTGGAGCTGCCGGTACAGTTGTTGCTGGTGTTGTTCGTGGCGCTGCTACGGGGTAGCCCAGGGCGCGGCACAGTGACAGCCGAACGTATGGTTGGCGTAGGGTAATTGACATTTCAGCGTCCATAACTACCTGTATGGAGAAAAGGCGAGTTTAGTTACGACTCAGTGATATAGATAATGGATCCCTTTAAACTTAACCAACTTTATTTGGTTAGTGGGGGTCGTATTAGTCCACCATTATTGTATTAGATATATATTGGATTTTATCATATTTGCGGTTTATTTCGTTTTAGGTTATTAGACGGATATTTTGTTTTCTGCGTGTATATATAATATTATTGTACGGATCTTATTACTTGCGTTTTCGCTGTTATCTGCGATTGGTAGGAAGCATAGTTTAACGAGCGGCCTGGTTAGCGTTCCGGTTCGAGTACGGAGGTCAACTACTCGTATATGACCGTCGGGACCATGATGTAGCTCTCTATGCAACCAAGCCGCCATTCTGTAGGGGGAGACAATCGTCATGGATTAGGACAAAATCTCCAAGCTTTGGCGCTTTTCGGGAGTTTTCCAGCGATACCTTTATGAAGGTCCTTATATACTCCTCCTCCATCGGCGGCTGAAATCATGATGGAGAATTTTAATTCTTTCCCATCTATTATGCAAGGACAGCGACTCCACGCCTGGCTCAGGTATGGCCAGAATGGGTGCTCCTTTTAGAAAGTGCCCTGGAGTTAGGGCTGTGAGATCTGAGGGATCTTGCGAGAGTGCCGTTAGTGGCCGGAATGAGAACGGCTTCAATGCGAATTAATAATGTTGTAAATTCTTCATAATTAAATTTGTAGTTTCCAGCTACTTTTTAAAGTGGGATTTGAAGCTTTTTACAGCTGATTCCCATAAACCACCCATA